CCTTCTTCCCAAAGTCAGAGGTTCTGTCTTATTGGCATCATATGCCAACATTTTTCAGATCAGTCCAGTGTTACAGTAAGACAAGGCATAGTCAGTTCTCAGTTTCACAGGTGCAAAATTGTTAGCAAATGCAGTGTTAATATCTAATCAGGAATAGTCAGTCAATGTCTTCTTACCCACTGAAATTTTTCTACAGACTCTGCATTCATTTCCAAATTTCTAATATTTAGCGGCAAAGATGCATCCAGGATTTTTGGTATCAAACCATGTAAAAGTTTAATTCGAATCTGCTCTGTGAGAGTTATTGAGGTGGAAACTTCTTTGGTATAAGTAGCTAAGCTTTTATTCTGAAACAAATATAATGTCACAAATAATTTAAATGTCATCAATGAACATCATAGAGAACTGAGAATATGATAATTCCCACTTACCCTCTTTTTCAAGTTGTAAGATACCAAGCAGACACAACTTTTTTTTCCCATGTCTATGGACTTCCTTTCACACACTGTGGATACCATCATTGCTCAGAAATTAACCATCATAAATCTGGAAAACCTCACAACATTAGGATTCAGACAACTGTAGTCTAGAGAGCTTTCCTGAAAGCCAGAAGTTGTTATACTCTGAAGAAATATCAGCAAACTATTATTAACTGATTTTAAAATATTATATCCAATTCTAGAAATGTACTTTCTAATTTTCCTCCAAACTAAAGAAACAATATATTTTTCCAAAGCAAAATTATTTATGGAGAACAATAAAAATAACAAAGAAAAAAATTCTATTTGCTGAAACTCAGGGAGGATTTCCAAAAGGCAAATGAGATGCAGAAATCAACTTTGTGTTTTAAATCTTTTCTTTTTCACAAAGAAATCTACCAGAATAATTGAAAGAGTTGCATTTCAATCTGGAACTTAATCATATATGATAAATTAAGGTTCACATGAGTTTTTTTTTTTTTTAAATCAAAGATATACTTTCATTGAAGAGTGGATTTGGAGACAAGTTGTTTTGTATTACTAGCCTCAAGTTAAAGGATTGTTTTCGTGCTGTGTATGTTTCTACAGGATCAGGGAAGAGAAAAATTGTCATTCTATTAACGACAGTGAAACACAACTGGAACACTTGCAGAGAACTGTTATATGCCATGCAACTGCTGTGACCATAGCAGTTTAAAAAATTAAAAAAAAAAAAAAAAAGGAAAATAAAAGAATGCAAGAGGAATTTTGGAAATACTTTCAAATGACCAATTCATTGGCCCAAAAAAGCAAAAATAGTTCAGCTGTATAGACTAACCATCATTATTTAAATTATTAGAATTACATAGCTGATCAATGTCCAACAAAATACACTGAGGCTGAACAAACTTCCAGTAGACTGAAGGAACCTGCTTTAGGAACAGTTTGAGATACATAAGGTGACTGCATCTATAATGATTATTGAGCATCACTCCAAACTCAGAAAGTTTTTCCCTTTTAGTCTTACTAGAAGGCTGTGAAGACTTCACTCCCCTGATAGCCAGAAATCTTCTTAACTCCTTCTAAAACTGTTAATGGCCAATGTGCTGTATGTCATTGGGATATTTCACTCTTTAATTTGCTAAGGAAGATGAGCCAAACTCATCTAATCTTGTCTCATAAGATGGGGTCTTGATTCCCCATATACTCCTTTTGGCTTTTTCCTCCATTTGTTCTAGTTTGTTCTTTTTGACCATAGGTGAGCATAGTACAGACAGTATTTTGTATGGAATTTCATGAGTGGCTTGCACAATGGCACTGATCTGCCCATATTTCCTACTGAAAATGCTTTGTTGTGTGTATTCCAGGATCATACCTGCCTTCTTCATGGTCTGGCTACACCAAAGACTGTTCTCCTGTGATCAGCTGGATCACACCTTTCTCTTTTCTAGTATTTCCTCCTAAGGAGTTCCCAGTGTAGAGCAGAATTTATTAATCACCAAGTAGATGACTTTGCATTTTGCACTGTTAACTTTCTCCATTTCTATTACTCAATCCTTAGTGTCATTCAGACCCAATTTGACTCATTACTGGGAATACTTCTTAATATTATCTTATTAGCAGATGTCAGTACCAGTTCTACTTCTTGTTTTGAAGTCATTAATAATAATGATAGGATCAGGGTAAGTTCTTCAAGAAACTCCATTAGTACTACAGTTCCACAGACAACTCTACCCATTAGTTAATTATATAGTTTCAAATCTATGCACTTATATTCAGCTTTGCTAACAATATGTCATATATGGCATTATAGCAAATACTTTACAACAGACCACCTTTGGTAAATGTTAGGATCAGGCTTTTAAACACGCCACTGGGTTTTTTTTTTTGTCCGTAATGAACTAAAATGGGTCCTACCAGTCAATTTCCAGAGGAAAATAGTGCACTGCCCAAGACAAATGCTGATGTAAGATTTCAGTGAATTGTGGGCCTCCTAGTCAGAGCTAATGTTAGATCTGCTCTGTGATCAGTCTTTTGAGCAAGGAGGACTGAAACAAGAACAGTGAAGGGAAATCCTTATTCAACTACCAAGAACTCATATCTTAAAAAAACTACTAGCAGAACTAAAAATTCTAGAAGCATTGGCTGTAGGGTGTGGTATAAAGAAAAGCTAGACAAGAAGAAGCAAGTACTGATAGAAAGTTCAAAAAACTTGGTAACATTACATTAGCCAGACCACTAGAAATTAACTGAAAATATCTCCTTCCAATTCTGTGTTAAAATTTTAACAGAAGAGAGTCTCTCGTCAGCCACTATGTGATTATGTTGGGAAGTATCATAAAGAAAAATATTCTGTACCAAGAATTCAATTTATTCATCTTCTGATAGCAATTGTCTTACAAAATAAAAATTCTTGTAGTAGACATAACTATAAATAACATTTCTTTTATCACCTAGTAGCAAAGGAAAACCTGGGCAGACTTGTGACATGAGGTTCTCTGCTGCATGTTCAACTGCAACCAGATGTATTATATTATATGTATTGATATGGGAATAAAATCATATTATTTATAAGATTCTGAGAAAAAAATGTTTTTTATTGCTAATATCTAGAATGCACTTTTAAGGAATACAATTTTAAGCATGTTCAAAATGAATGTAGGTAAACAACGCAAATTTCCGAACAAAATTAATGCTTAGCTTAAATCCCTTAAAGTTAATGGAAGTATATGTCAGACAGGTTAACCCATCAGACTTGTAATTCACTCTTCTTAAGCAAAGGTCTTAATTTTCATTTCTCATTTAATTCTGTTCCCCAAAACTGGTTTTCCACTAAGGCCATTGAAAAGAACTTAACCACCAAAAGCACTTAATGATTAGGTAGAACAGCAATTCAGGGAAGTCCTTAATATTAATAAAAAAAATAACCAGTGAGCTCTGTGTAAATCATTCTGTTAATCACCTTATTATATTCTACCCTTCTTACTTTCTTTCATTAGCCTGGATTTTATAACTCTGCTTATAGTTTTCTTAAAATAAATAAATATCATGCACTTCACTTACCTTATATAATAAAAAAGCCACAAACTGACAGTAGATACATCCATAATAAAATATGCTGAGAGTCTCTCCAGGAAACACAATGTTTGCTTGTAAAGTGGTTCAGGAGGTGCTTACAATATTTTGCTGTTGTATGTAAGAACTGGGGTTTTTTTCCTTTTTTAAAGAACAGTTCACTTCATTTTTTGACAGTAATTCAATGCCTTAAAAATTTTTGTGACTATCAAAAAATAATTTGATTTGTGAATGTTTCTAGAGGGTCTAACCAGATTTAAAGTTCCAGTCTCACAGGCTTACCTTTGCTTCTGTGGACTGAACTCCCTCTAAATGGAAACCTGAGGCAGCCACATTAAAAATTCTTGTTGCCTGGCCTCACACAACTTTTCCCAACCCAACTATTAAGAGTTTGGGGCACTCTCTTCATTTTTCAGTGAAACATCAAACTTGCAGAATGCATATAGTTTTTCTTAGGAAAACTTAGTTTCAAATGAAACAGTCTTTCTGTTGACAAAAAAGATGCTAATAGAAAATGTTCAACTAGTTCTACTGGCTGAGTCATTTTGAATGTCCCCAGTCTCAACTGGTCAAGAAGTGAAAACCATAAAAGCTTTTTCAGTCATGTTAACACCATCCTGGTGTCAGATTGCCTTTCTCTAAATCCATAAGACTTTCCTGGCAAAGTCTGTGCTGCAACTTTTGCAGAGGGCTCCCATCTAATTATACCACAAGTATATATATATATATATAATTTTCTTCTGAAAATGAAGATGTCTCTCCTCTGGTTCACCACTAGTTCAGCTCTCTCTGGAGCAATATCCCCAGTGTGGGGTCTGCAAATCAAAGAATATACTGCATAATTTGGACAGAATTCAGAGAAAAACTTTGAGACTGACTAGAATCAGAAAACAAGTATTGCATTGACTTGTAACAGAATATATTTTTATCAAAGAGAAGATTAAAGGGCTATCCAGCTGCAACCTTAAAATGCATGTAATACGGCAACAAAAATATCATAGAGGGAATTTTAAAACAGCAAGCAAAGCTACTGGAAGACCCAATGATTGGCAACTGACACCATGCAAAATCTAGATTACAAGCAAGCTACAAAGTCATGACTTTGAACGTGTTAGGAAGAATTGTGTTAGTTTCTCTATGCTTTCAAACCAAGATTCAATCTTTTAAAAAATTCATGGTCTATTCAGCCATAAATATTGTATTTTAAATGGAAGATAATTCTAGAAAATCCTGGTTTATGCAGTGGAACCAATGAGATTAATACACTGGTCCCTTCTGTCCTTAAAATCTATGATTTTCTGAATGACATTTTCTCTAACATAACACTGTACAGTCACAATGCAGTAATTTCAGTCTGACTTTTTTTTTTTTCTGTCTTCTGTTATGTTTTGGTTGCTTTGCTGGCTTTGCATTTTTTGTTCCTTTTCTTTTTTGTTTGGGTTTTTTTGTTTGTTTCTTTTACCCCAGGAATTGGTCAAGGGGTTCCAGTGGTGGCCCTCATTGTGGAAGGAGGTCCTAATGTTATCTCCATCGTTCTGGAGTACCTACGAGACACTCCTCCTGTTCCCGTTGTGATATGCGATGGCAGTGGCCGGGCATCCGACATCCTTGCCTTTGGTCACAAATACTCTGAAGAAGGAGGGTAAGTAATTTCCTAGTGTGTGTTCTTTCTCCATCCAGAGGTTCAATTTGGTGGTAAGATAGAGCCCAGGAAATTATTAGCAATATAGTGCTAAAGCAATACCTTCTTCACATGGCTGCTTCCATCATCGATACGGATGAAATACTGAAGGTATCCGGAACAAAAAAAAAAAAAAAAAAAAAAAAAAAAAAG